CCATCATCATCACTATCACCACCATCATCACCACCATCATCATCATCACCATCATCATCACCATCGTCTCGTCGTCATCATCATCATCATCATCATCATCATCATCATCATCATCATCATCATCATCATCATAGCTACCTTATCGTCTTTATTCCTGACAGCATCGTAAATCTTCCAGACGAACTCCTGCCCTGCTGTTCCAGTCTGCTTCACGAGTCTGTAGTTCTGGAGAATGCTGTTAGAGCCGTCAAATATGAAGTTGTTGCTGCCACTGCCACTGCCACTGCTGCTGCTCATGTTCGTTGATGACGTAAGTGATGACGTCAAAGACGTTGTGGCTAATGACGCGGCTCCAGCTGCTCCAGTCAAGGATGACGAGGACGACGTTGTGGTTGCGTGTTGAGATGTTCTCAGAGCAGAGATCATTTTGTTTTGTGATGTTGTTGTTGTTGTTGTTGTTGTTGTTGTTATCGGGAAGCAACAACTCTACAATGATAATAAACAAAATAAATTTGCCGAGAGCATTATTGTTAATTTTGTTTTTTATTCTCTGGGAATTTTATTTGCGAGTTTTTTATTCTCTGGTGACTTTTTTGTTTTATTCTTTGGTGGATTTTTTTGTTTTATTCTTTGGTGGATTTTTTTGTTTTATTCTTTGGTGGTTTTTCTGTTTTATTCTTTGGTGGTTTTGTCTGTGTGTTTGTGTTCGTCGTTATTTTTTTTTCGCTTTACCCTAATTGAAATATATGGCGTAGTTGAAGTAATTTTTAATGTTGTTGTTGTTGTTGATGTTGTTGTTGTTGTTGTTGCAGCTGATGTGATTTATCATCGAAAGAGTTGTTTTAAAATTAATACTTTGCGTTACTAATTTGATTCATGTTAAGCTTTCTGTGGTGAGCTATTAACGGCTTTAATGTCTTCATTGTTATCATCGATTATTGTTGCTATTATTATTATTATTACTATTAGTAGTAGTAGTAGTAGTAGTATTAGTAGCCGTAGTAGTAGTAGTAGTAGTAGTAGTAGTAGTAGTAGTAGTAGTGACTGTCGTTGCTGTTTTAGCGCAAAACTGTCAAATCCAGATTTCTAGTTTTTGGCGCGTTTTCGACCTGCGCTGATAATGATGATGGCGGTGATGATGAGATTATGATAATGATAGTAACAACAACAACAATAAGAATAATAATAATATAAATAACGATAAGAATAATAATGACCATAATTATAACAGGAATGACAACAACGTCCAGCTAATGATATCCATGGAATGGAACGTTTAAATAATTTATCACCCATCAATCGCCCGTTCTCTCGTCTTTCACACTTTCTCTCACTCTCTCTCTCTTTTCTCTCTCTCTTTCTTTTTCCATTTCACTTCCTTTCTTTTTTTTCTCTTTCTCTCTCTCCGTTTTTTGTTTCGATTTTAGATTTCGAAGATTAACAAAAAAAGTTTCCATTGTTCTATTATTATTGTTAATGTTATTGTTATTATTATTATTCATAATTTTTTATAATATAATAATAATTATAATTATTATTATTATTATTATTTTTGTTATTATTATTTAAAATCACAAAATTATAGTCATCAATGCTCATCATTCACATCAGAGTACAAGGATGATAAAAAATGATACAAAAAATTGTTCATGTTTTGTTCCTTTCACAGTATATTGCATACGATTCTTTATTATTCATCATTATTTTTTATTATAATTATTATTATAATTATTATTTTCATTATTGTTTTATTTTACAAAGTAGAAAAAATAAATTCTCGACCGAGCAATTTGAGAATTTGAGATGATGATGATGATGTTGTTGACGATGATGATGATGTTGTTGACGATGATGATGATGTTGTTGACGATGATGATGATGTTGTTGACGATGATGATGATGTTGTTGACGATGATGATGATGACGATGTTGTTGTTGTTGTTGATAATGATGATGATGACGACGACGACGATGATGATGATGATTGTGGTTGAAATAATAATGATGACAAACACCAATATTTTAAATTTTAGTTATCAGTACCGTTATTAAAATAATTAACATCACTAGCTGTTTGGTAGTAGTAGTAGTAGTAGTAGTAGTAGTAGTAGTGTAGTAGTAGTAGTAGTGTAGTAGTAGTAGTAGTGTAGTAGTAGTAGTAGTAGTAGTAGTAGTAGTAGTAGTAGTAGTAGTAGTGTAGTAGTAGTAGTAGTAGTAGTAGTAGTAGTAGTAGTAGTAGTGTAGTAGTAGTAGTAGTAGTAGTAGTGTAGTAGTAGTAGTAGTAGTAGTAGTGGCATTAGAAATACTAACGTTTTATTTGTTACTTCCGGAATTTTTCTCTGCGAATTATGAAGCGTTTATCTTAAATTTTTCATATTATATTCATTACATTATATATATATATATATATAATATACATAATTACAATTACAATTATTAATTATTTATTAATATTATTGTTTTATTATTTATTAATATATTTATTTATTTATATATATAAAACTCTACAACAGAAAAATCCGTTATTAAATTGAAAAAGTCATCTTTATATCTTTCAATGTTTTCTAATCATTCATTCAATCATTCATTCATTCATTTATTGGATTTATTTATTCATTCCTTCGTTAGTTAGTTTATTTATTTCTGAAAAATATTATAGTTAATAATTGTAGTATTTTATTATGTTTAAAAATTATTATTATTTATCAACTGATGATGTATCATTTAACGGTCGTGTCAACATTAAAAGCATTGTGAAAAACACCCCGAGCTATATGTATATATCTATGTTTGTATGTATGCATGTATGTATGTATGTATGTATGTATGTATGTATGTATGTATGTATGTATGTATGTATGTATGTATGTATGTATGTATGTATGCATGCTTGTATGTATGTTTGAATGTATGTATGAATGTATGTAGAAACTCGAACACAACGAGCGTTCAGCGAGAGTCTTCAGAGGAAGAGATTCCATCATGGAGTGTTTCGGCCCTTTAACTTGCTGACACTCTCGAGAAACAGGGCCACATGCAGAGATCAGTTGGATGTCTCTTGCTGAACAAACAATCTGCCTCGCTTTGAAATCACCTCCTTTTTTACTGAAGAATTGTGTAGGCATGCCAGACAGTTCACTTATAACCATATCACGATGTGATTATATCGACGAGCCAAGTAACACGCTGAGCCGAATCTGGGAGTGTTGAGTAGTCGGAAGCCTTACGTGCCACAAGCTCGTCTGCTAACTATTTAAACTCGCATTCCTCTTTCTAACTACATAACCACTTGAAAACTTGAATAATATTTGTTGTTGTTGCTGCTGGAAGTAGTAGTAGCAGCAGCAGCTGTAGCAGCTGTGGTAGCAGTAGCAGTAGTGGGCAGTAGTATTTGTAGTAGTAACAGCAGCTGCTGTAGCAGTAGTAGTAGCAGTAGTGGCAGTAGTAGTAGTAGCAGTAGTGGCAGTAGTAGTAGTAGCAGTATTTTATTAAGATAACGCATTGAATAATGGCATCATTTGTATGCGGCGATGAGGCTGAGGTTATTAAATTTGAAATAAACTCAAAGAAAATACTATTACTTAGTTGCGTATATATATATATATATATATATATATGTATATGTGCATGCATGTCTGTATGTATGTATGTGTGTATGGATGTATGTATGTATGTATGTATGTATGTATGTATGTATGTATGTATGTATGTATGTATGTATGTATGTATGTATGTATGTATGTATGTATGTATGTATGTATGTATGTATGTATGTGTGTATGTATGTATGTGTGTATGTATGTATGTATGTATTATGTATGTGTGTATGTATGTATGTATGTATGTATGTATGTATGTGTGTATGTATGTATGTATGTATGTATGTATGTATGTATATATTGCTTTCGTCATCAGCTTCAGCAACGTCATCTTCACATCATCATCGTAATTGTATTCGCAACGCTTCTCGGAAATTCGCGTGGCCAATAAAGTTGAATGTGACACTTTTTGATGATGACGAAGATGAAGAAGATGACGACGAAGATGATGAAGATGATGACGACGACAATGATGATGACGAGGATGCTGATGATGATTTTTCCGTATTATTCTTATTCAGGTTTTTTTGATAGCTATGTAATAGAAACAATAACTGTCCATTTATAAGCCATTTTCGCGGTCCTCGCTTATGGTTATGTACGTATGGTGATGCCGATGATGATGATATTGATGATGATGATAACGATGAGGATGATGATGATCATATATGTCGCCTGAATGAGTGCAATAGATGGCATAATGGCCTCGTAAAATTAAAGAACACAAAAGATTTTGTGATGTACCTCAAAATTATCACCACCATCATCATCATCACCATCATTACCACCACCACCATCATCACCATCATCATCCCCACCATCACCATCATCACCATCATCATTACCACCATCATCATCATCATCAACAACACCGTCATCATTACCTTCACTGTGGTCATGATGATGATGGCAATAAAATAAAACAATATAAAAGTTGATGAGATGTGACAAAAAATTAATGAAGACATCATTAATATATTGAGAGAGAGAGAGAAAAAAAAAGAGAAAGAGAGGGATAGAGAAAGAGAAAAAGAGAGAGAGGGAAAGAAAAAGAGAGAGAGAGAAAGAAAGAGAGAGACCAATGCGTGCGTGACGATGATTGGTTATTTCTCTGCAAGCCCCTGATGATGATGGTGATGATGATGATGATGATGATGGTGATGATGATGATGATGATGATGATGATAATGATGATGATGATGATGGTGATGATGATGATGATGATGATGATGGTGACGACAGCGACGACAACGCCAGTTGAAACAGCGTTAACGATGATGGCAGCACACCAACGCAAGAAGCTTCACACACCACACGACTCTAATAAACGCCACACAACGTGCGTACACACACGCACACGTACACACATATAAACTACATGACAAAAAGTATACACATTTTTGGTTATTCTCAAATAGGGTGCCAAGCAAGCAGCAGACCAACTTTCACTATAGAACAGACTGTGCTTGAACCAGGCAAGCAATGAATAGTAACACAAAAATCTGCGTTCTACCCGCCTAAGCTAATTTTATAACTGTCAATAATAATACTATCTATTTTATCTTCGAACAACATCATCAACAATACTGTTACCGGCAAAGCAATTGTAATATCATTATACAAAATTTCAGGTAGAAGATTGTGATTTTTGAGTGACGGATGTAGAGAGATTTGACCAGTGAGGAGGTCGAAATTTTG